GTGTGTGTGTGTGTGTGTGTGTGTGTGTGTGTGCATATACATAATTATGTAACCCTCTCAGCCAGGGTTGGCCCTGCTTCCTAAAATATCTAAATTGTGTCGATGGGAGCGTAATAAAGACCCACCCACATGTATCAAAAAATATATCTGTTAATCCTTGTCTGTTCCTCATTAACAGTGTCTGTTGTCGTGTCCATTATCCGTGACCGCACAACCTCCGGGCCACAATTTGTGCCTTCAGATTTTTGTCATTTGATTTAAGCGCAGTTGACCAGAATGACAAATTGTTTTGATTTTAAATCTCAGTTTTGTCCTGTATGGCCTTACGTGTATATCTGCATGTATGTTTTTACAATTTCTGTACAGCCACAGAAAATTTCCCACAGGGACTGTTAAATCTTATCTTATCTTATCTTATTTCGTTGAACGAATATGAAGTTATCGATATCAGGCATAAATACAATTTTTTGAAAAAAATTCTTTAGAATCAGTAGGAATAGCCACGGTATTCCACCTCTGCCATGCAGTGGCGTCGGTGGCCTAGTGGTTAGGCTACCGGACTCGTAATCGTGAGGTTGGGGTTCGGGTGTTCGAGCCTCAGCTCGGTCCGACGTTGTGTCCTTGGGAAAGGCACTTTGCACGAATTTCCCATTTGGCTCGGTACTTTCGGAGATGGACGTTAAACTCGGAGGTCCCGCCTCTTAAAATAACCTAATGATGTTGATGATAAGGGTTCCATTCCACCTCTGCTGTTCATTCTCTTCACGGAGAAAGGAACTCGAGGTTACTATCAGCGCGAATGTTAATCCCATGTTTGCCAGTGGCAACAAATTAAGAGCTGAGCCTCACCTGGGCGTCGTGTTCTGAAAATCTCAGAGTGACAAAGCCTGTCGAAAGACCAGTACAGTCTTGAGTGACGGTTTGACCACTCACTTTTTGTTACCAATGGATTTTTGGAACTCAATGCGAACAAGTATAATATAATAGTTTTGTCAACAATCCGATATTTGGCAAACAATAGTGGTATCCACTAGGACTCTTTTCTTTAATCCTGTTTGTGGCCATGTCATAGCACTCTGTTACACTTTATAAGATATTACAACTTACTGATGTCAACTAAATCTAGCTGTAAGACAGTGATCAAAACGAAGTGATCAAAACGAAGTGATCAAAACGAAGTGATCAAAACGAAGTGATCAAAACGAAGTGATCAAAACGAAGTGATCAAAACGAAGTGATCAAAACGAAGTGCAGCCAACGTTGATTCTAATCCGATCAACGCTCAAGACAAATACTTTGTACTTTTACCTTTACTTTTCATTCTCTGCTGTTGTTAAGCGTCGAGGGGAGATGCAGTTTTCTATGGTAGGCCAGCTCCGCAGCTCTTTCAATTGGGATATTATGATTTCTCAAAGTTTGCTTGACACCCTCAATCCACCTTTTGCGTGGCCTTCCTCTTCCTTTATAGCCTGAGCGCTTGACAGTTATAGGCTCTCGAGGCTGGCTTGCTAAGTGACATGTGTCTCAAAGATACCTCAGTCAGCACAAACGAAAGGGTGCTCTGGTGCGATTGGTTCGTTCTTTCCTATCAAACATTCTATCTGCCTTATCTCCTCTCCTTCTGTTTTTTCTGCGTTTATTACTCTCTTGTAACACCTCTAATCTTCATCACTTGTGTGAGATAATGATGTTCCAAGTGCCGAGAAACGTTTGCTAAAATAAAACAAAACAGCAAAACAAACAAAGGGGGAATGAACAACATAATAAAAACGTTATGAAACTACTAAGGAATGTGACGTAATTCGTCATGGGTCTTTAGCAACAGTGTACACTACTTTATTGTTTCTTCGAAACGCAATAGGAAAGAGAAACAAGGTATGAATGTATAACTAGCGTAACCCTTCTATCCCACAGAGCGATCAGAAATGAGTGTGTAAGTGTATGTGTGTGTGTGTGTGTGTGTGTGTGTGTGTGTGTGTGTGTGTGTGTGTGTGTGTGTGTGTATCCGTATGTTAGTGTGTGTGTGTGTGTGTGTGTGTGTGTGTGTGTGTGTGTGTGTGTGTGTGTGTGTGTGTGTGTGTGTATGTGTGTGTGTGTGTGTGTGTTCGAGTGTGATGGGGGAGGGGGGGGGTGTCCATGAATATTTTGTAAATTTCAATAAACGTGTCCGTTTCTCTGTATTTTCGCATGTGACATTTCAAGTTAAGTATACTATCCTCGTGTAAATGTCAACGGCTTTCCCTGTGGTTTTCTACATATTATTATGATTATTATATGTGTGAGCACTGTATTTATGCACATAAAACAAATACCTCTATGCTTATTATGTAACCTGAAATGACCCGAACCGTATTTCTCTCGGGTACGGGTATCCCTTTCTACCACCAACAAGGTCAGTTTATTTGTTTTCCAAAAGTGATAGCCTTTACACTTTTTATCTTTTACAGGCGACTAAAAAGGCCCAAACGCGCCAGGTCGACTTCGTGAAGTAACGCATGCTGATCCGTTTCATGGTTTTATGTAGCTCTATCTATACTATGGGTGTAACGTTTCTTTTTTTTTTCACTACTCTTTTAGTTGTAGTACAGTGGTCTTTAACATTTGTGTTAACTCTATGCTTTTGAGTGTTATTTATCTGTCACGATTTTTTTTCAACGGTCACAGCATTAAATTAAGTAACGTGCATCATAGTTACAAATCACTGGTGAACGCCTGAGGATGATAAAATGTATCTCGACACGATGGAATCAGGCGCTCGTCAATTTTTGGGTTACCGGTATTGGTATAACCTTAAAGTTTGTTCCTTTGTCTTCTTTTTAATGAAAAAATATCTATCTAACTTAAGTTAATAGAAGTCAAGTCGAGCGACATATTTGCGATGGAAGAAGGTGGGAGTTGCCAGGTGTTAAGGGTAACATTTCATTAGCGGAAAAACGGCAGCTAAAGTTTGGTGGCTTCCAAAGCTTGAGCGTCCCTGGAAATTGAAAATTTACAACTTGTAATTTTTATTTTTTTTAATACGTGCCTTTAATAAACGATTTTAAGCTTTTTTTAAAAATCCAACATATGTGGGGGGGTTTTGTTAAGGACACAATGAGTATTGAGCAAATAAATAAATAAATAAATAAATAAATAAATAAATAAATAAAGTTACATTTCTTTTTTTAATTCAATAGAAATTCAATTTAAAAAATATTCATCAGGTGGAAAAATGCCGGTTCCTTATTTTGACGAGCCCCTGATTTCACCTTGGTGCCTCACAAAATATTGTTTTAATATTGTGGTATATAATGACTATGTATTTCGTTCAATTAAAACAATGAGTTGCAAGGTGACAATCAGTTAACTGCAATAAGGAAAGTGGGTAATAAATAAACCAACCTTTCAAGAAACAGTATCGTGTTCTTTTGTAGGCCTGTTTTTATCCTTATGCTTTCATCTTAAATGTGATTTGGTGATTAAGGTAATTGCAAGTTTCAATGTGTTATAAATTCGTTTGCATTTAACGTCAGTATTTGTTTTTCTTGTTCTTTTTCAGCGTGATAACTGCTTCTCCTTAAGTTGTTCTTTTTTTGCTCTTTCACCTAAAATATTTTGTTGTAATACTTCAACGGGGATTTTTCCCTCTGCTCGGACATAATGAACCGATGTTATCGCAAGCTGTGTCGCAAATCATCGATGCCGGCGAGACGGATTCTCCAGGGCAGTCGGGAGACATGATCAAACGATTACGGACGAAGACCAACAAGTACAAGAACACACAGAGCTCTCTGGATCGGAGGAACTTAATTTATTTACAATCATTCTTTGCAGCCACCCACCCCCTTCTCTCCCTCTCTCTCTCTCTCTCTCTCTCTCTCTCTCTCTCTCTCTCTCTCTCTCTCTCTCTCTCTCTCTCTCTCTCTCTCTCTCTCTCTCTCTCTCTCTCTTTCCACCCCTCTTTCTCTTTCTTTCTCTCTCTCCCTCTACCTCTCTCTCTTTCTCTCTCTCTCTCTCTCTCTATCTCGCATTTCTCCACTTTCTCACGCCTCTTTTGTCCCCTCTCCTGCTACACCCTCGTCCTTCTGTCGGTCCCATTCACAGAAGGTCTGTTCAAATACACGTAAGCTTATTTCAACAGTCATTTGAATTCCTTTTTTTTTTAAGTATTTACTTTTAAAAAGATATCCAACCAACCCCACCCCGGTGGATTATTTATTATTGCATTTGTATATTTCACATTGAAATACGCATTGACATTGTAATACTATATTCTTTGACCAAAAAAAAACCAACAACAACAAAAATCCTTCACTGCCTGTCCCGAGATTGTCTCGGGCTCTCTGGTTGGACTAAAAGTAGAAGCTAATTCCTATGATGTCCTTTCGTGACTGTGGAAGTAGAGGGCGGGGACAGGGGGACGATGGCGATTTATCCCTGCTCCAAATAAATGGTCATCCTTCAGAGAGATCAGCTCACTGTCACTTACATTGTGGGGTCGGTGGTGTTCAGATGGGACAACGACGTAGCCAGACCACTTACTTCAAACAAACAAAAGTAGCCTTCAATGAATCCTTGTATTTAATAAACTGGGATTTATAAACCGCAGGAATTCGCTGTTACTCTAAGACCTGCCCCATAACTGAATTTTCGAGTCTGGCAGTAAAGTGGTTACGTTGGGAGCGGAACGGCTTTCCCTTGTTTCAAATGTAGCCTACACTAGAAACATTCGTCCAATTTACGGGCTTTTGTGATTATACGGCCGTCTCTGTCAGGGCTAGCCTGGGCTGAGCGAGAGAGACAACATGCCAGCTGACTGACAACATACTGGATTTTAAAAAAAAAAAGAAATCCGTCCCCTTGAGGGAATCCTGTCGTCTGCGTGCGACGGCTAAGTATCTAACCACTAAACCACAGAAGCATGTGCTACAAAATTTGAATTTTCAGCAAATTTTTGAAAATTGTAGTACTTTCCCTTATTTTCACATACTCATAATTTGAATTTGAGTCACGTAAGAGCTTTACGCTAGCTCACTGACAGCTTTGACATCCAGACTGGTGTGAGACAGGGATGCTTACTATCACTGTTCCTCTTCATATTGGCAATCGACTGGCTAATGAAGGAAACCACCATAGGACACAGAAATGGTATACAGTGGACACCATGGACACAGTTGGACGATCCGGATTTTGCAGACGACTTGGCGCTTCTGTCGCACACCCAGGAACAGATGCAAGCTAAGACTTCAGTATTAAACAGCCTATCGGAGTCTGTTGGATTGAGGATCCACCCCGGAAAGTCAAAGGTCCTAAGGACAGATGCACAACGAAAGGAGCAGGTCACAATAGAAGGAAAGGCCCTAGAAAACGTTGAATCCATCTGTTATCTTGGGAGCATAATTGACAGAGAGGGAGGAACAGGTGCTGAAATAAAGTCCCGCTTTGGAAAAGCACAGGCTGCTTTCATATCTTTGGATAGGATTTGGAAGTCCAGAGATATCTCACTTTGAACAAAGCTGAGGAATTTCAATTCAAACTGTAAGTCGGTCCTGTTGTATGGATGTGAGGCATGGAACGCATCACAGACTTGTATAAAGAGGATCCATGTTTTCTTGAACAGGTGTCTAAGAAAGTTACTGAGGATCAGATGGACAGACAGGGTCACCAATGTGGAAGTGTTAAAGGAAAACAAGACAGATCCCAGTCAGAGATGAGGTAGGAAGAAGGCGGTGGCCATGGATTGGACATACTCTCAGGAAGTCAGGCAGCTGCATAACAAAGAAAGTTTTGGATTGGAACCCACAGGGCAAGAGATCAAGGGGAAGACCTCGTGGATCCTGGAGAAGAATCACAGAAATCGATGTACAGAAAAGTGGGAAGACATGGAATAACATCAAGAGGCTAGCTCAGGATAGAGAAAAGTGGAGGGTGTTTGTCCGTGGCCTATACCCTGGTGCAGGGTGAGAAAGGCAATGATGATGAAGAGCTTTACGCATTCACCGTAGGTACTTTCAGCTCACAAGCATCAGAAAACAGGTTAAGCAATAAGACAATAACCCAAAAGCATTATTAGAGGCCTAACAAATGATTCCCTGGCAATAGATCTACACTGGATTAGGCCTAATCACAGTCTGTGCTTGACAAAACCATCACCACATGAACTTGTTTCTTTTGTGGCTGGCGTTGCACATGCATAAAATAGTACGTTTTATTTTTATTACAAGCTCTGAAGGCGTTTTGATCTCTCAGCATTCGAGCTTATGGCAGTATAACTTACATTGCGGCTAATAATAATAATAATCAAAATGTTTCAGAAGAAGCAGTTAGTTTGTTTCTTCCTCCCATATTCAGTCACACATGTTCGTCGAGGTAGCGTGTCCTTCTTTTTTTTTCTTTTTTTTTTTTTGGCTGTTAGTTTTAGTTTTAGTAGAGGTTTTACGGCGCTCGCAACTGCATAAGGTCACATTATTATGAGCGCCAGGAGATTAGAGGTGTTACAAGAGAGTAACAAACATAAAAAAGAAGAAGGGGCGATAAGGATGATAGATGTTTGATAGGGAAGAAGAAGCAAACCACGCCAGAGCACCCGCCAACCACCCACTTTGGCCGCTAACAGCCGAAAGCCATGCGTAAATCGAGGTAGATTGTCCGTGACGCTAGTCATGTCTCCAGTTGATCAGAGATGTCCTGGTTCCATTTTGGTCAGCCACATGTTCCAGGGCCTTCCAGTTTAGATTATGACTTATTTCGGACTGTCGCCTCTCTATACATGTATGTCATTCATTTGTATAGTGTGACCACAGTACCGTATCTAATTTTCCTGTCCTTGGTTAAGTCAAAGATTCTATAGAGGCCCACAGTGCAGCCTCTCTATAACAACATCGTCGGGACCAGACAAAAGTCGTTATAGAAAGAAAACAAAAAACATTACTAATTATTGTACATGTATAATGAAAAACTCGGGACCTGGGTACCATGCCGCTATACAGAGGATGTCGTTATATCGAAGGTCGTTACAGAGAGGCTGCACTGTACTTTAAGATGGTTCACTCCTCCCTTTTAGCAACTAAAAAAGCGTCATCAAAACCACTGGTAGCGCCCCCTGTGAATGTGCGCTGACGAGGACGCTTCAACTTCAATGGCTGAGTGAACCACCTTGTTGTACAGGAACTTTGGCAATGTATGTATTGCTACCTCAGAATTACAATGTTCTGTCTGCTCAGACACTAGCAACACAAAAACATGTAGCTCACATAAAGTGATGCAGATTAGAGGTATTACTGATAGCAGCATGCAAAAAAGGAGAGATTTAAAGAAGATTGATATTTGAAATTGATAGGAAAGAAGGAGCACATCACACCAGAGCACCCGCCAATATTTCAAGCTTTTTCAAATGCAGTTCTTTGAATATCTTGATAGCGACTCGGAATAATTTTTCCATTTATTTGTAAGAGCAGATAGAGCATTTATTTGATTTCTGACCTCTTGGTCTTAGTAACTCAAACCGGTAAAAATATTAGACTAAACTTTGTAATTCTGAGGTAGCGGTATGGAGATTGGAGGAGTCAGTTTCAAGATTTTACTTTTATTATTCCTTTTTTTTTTCTTCAAATAATCCTTGCAACGGTATTCCTTTAGAACCTATGACACTGTGACATCATTTAATAGTCGCCATCTTAAACATTTCAGACCATAGAGATTTTTACAGTCTTGTTTAGTATCCATGACTCACACCCATAGGTGCCCCTATGTCGGAAATATAATCATTATTCTAAGAAAATTATGTTTTGTTTCTTTATTTGTACTATGCCAAAGATTTTTTCGGCACCGGTCTACATAACGGTCTACAGCAATGTTTCTATTCTACTTTAAGGTCTACCACGATGTTAATATTTTACTTGACGGACTACCAACTACCACCACACCAGTCGGGCAACTGCTGTTTTACTTGATGGTGTACCGCTATATTTCTGTTCTACTTTAAGACCTACCGCGATTTAATATGCTACTAACGGTCTACCACCGGATCAGCCAGACAACTGTTCTACTTGACGATCTACCACTTTATAATATTATGTAGATCTATGCCTATCCTACAAGCTTGAGACTATCGCTGGCCGCATTAAAATATTTGGTCCTGCAAAGGACCGTTAATGTTTTGGTGGTTGTAGTTGTATTCTAACATATGTAGTTTACACTTTCTATTTAGGCTTATACAGGCTTGGGGTATGTCTCTTTTTTAAACATTTGGAAGTGAAGCAGGGTGGTACCAATCAAAATGAAGTATCTAATGATTAAAATGCACCCAGCGCTAAAACACCACAACATTTAATTTATCCTCCCACACCGGTTTTTTTTTCTTCTTTAATTCAATATTATATTATGTAGGCCTACATGTAAATGTTTTCAGTGCCTGGCCGTAGACATCGCCCCGTCTGGTCCCGTCTTGCTGTCGTGACTTACTTGTCAATCATCGTCTTTACCTCCGTAAAATTCTTGTATCTAAATCTCCAGCCCCTGGCCGTTTTTTCTTGTCCCGTCTGGTCACTTGCTGTCACGAATTACGTGTCAGTGTCAAACAGTGTTTACTTTACCACCACAACATGAAGCACCCCCCCCCCCCTCCACACACACACACATATATATACACACACACACACACACAAATTCCAATTACTGTAAACACCACCGCCTCTTGTCTGAATGCACCCAGCGTCTGGCCACTAGCTGTCCGTGCCGCCGTCTTCTAGCACAGGAAGGCAGCGTCCCATCAGGCAGGACTTTCGGCTGCCCACATAGATCGCGGTAGACTGTGGTCAATCGGGCGAAATTTACAGTTGACTAATGAGATCGCGATACACCGTTGTCAATCGGGCAGAATTTAC